TAATTAAATAAATAAATAAGAAGAGAGAGAGAGAGAGAGAGAGAGAGAGAGAGAAGTTTTGACAAATATTTAACGTACATATCTATAATATTTCTGATTAAGGATCTATAATATGTCTATAAGACTCGAAAATGCGCGCCAAAATACGGGTATAAAAGATCGTATTTATATGAAAGATTTAATGAACTAATACATTATATTTAATCATATAAAATTATTAATTAATTTATTAAAAAAAATGCCATTAGTAAAAAAACCTATGCGTTATGCACATCCAGAGGGGCATACGGACGTATGTTATTTTTCTGGTGAAAAGTAAGTAAAGATATACATAAATATACAATATTTTTCCATATTTGTTTGTAATGATTTTTGTTAATAATTTTGATATAAATATTTTTTATTATGTATGAAATACAGATATAATAATAGATACATTTTCTTTGTTGACATTTTTTTAAATATATAAAAAGAATGATTAGAAAATATTATAGAACATTATAGAACAAAAGAGAAAATAAAACATAATTAAAAAATAAACAATTAATAATATATTTGTAGAAGAGGGCTTATTACTTGTGGATCTGATGGAGATGTTCGATCTTGGTTGAATCTAATGGATGATGATCCAAATGCAAGCTGTGTTTCAGAACAAGCTATATCAGTCATATCAAAAGTATAAATAGTTAATTATAAAATTCTTGTTTATATACTTAATAATGTTTATAAACTTAATAATATTTATAAATTCTCAAATATTTTTTATAAATATTTTAATATAATTTTAGAATGGGAAAATATTTGTTGGCAATGATAATAATACAATTCAAATTCTTAATTATCCAGATCTTGAAAAAGATGGTATAATTACTAGATTTTCAGCACCAGTTTCAGCATTAGCAACAACAAAAAACAGTAACATTATAGTATCAGGAGGATGGTATGTAAAATATGCATATGATATTTTAATAATTTTTAATTGATATAATCACATTAATATTTAATACATATTATATTATATAGTGATATGAGAATACAAGTAACTGATATTAATACATCAGATAATATAGAATTAATAGGTCATGAAGCTCCTATATTAGGTTTATCTTTAGATCCAAAAGAAGAATTTATAGTAAGATATACTTTATTTTTTAATATATGATATTAACTTGTTTTTATATTATAATGTTCCTTATAATATTTAATTTATATAGGCATCATCAAGTGCAGATGGTTCAATACGAGTATGGAATATTAAAGAAAAATGTGTTGTAAATATTTGGGCTAATGTTATACCGAAATGTAACTCATTTTTTACAGCTAAAATATATGGTGTACCCTCATTTCATCCAAAGAATGGAAATTATCTTGCATATCCTAATGTAAAAGATGTAGTTATAATTGAAAGATCTTCTTGGAAGGAGTTATTTCGTTTAAAATGTATTAATATAAAAACTGTATGTTTTTTCTATAAATATACTATAATATATTAGCAAGGCATTTATATGTATATATATATACACA